TAGTGTAATCTGTTAGAAGAGCAGGGTCTACTCTCTGCCTTTATGCATTTTTCCCCAAGAACCTAAGCAATCTCCATGAAGATGGATACAGTTTATTGTGTCACATAAATAAATTAAAAAAAAAAAAAAAAAAAAACCAAAAACCAAAACCTAAAACTAACTATTCTTGTTAGCTGAATTTTCAGATCCATATTACACTCACCCAGGGTATATCAGTATCATTTCCCATGCTCGGTCTCCTGAATTATTATGTCACGTCATCTGTTAACTTTCACCTCCTCATTCAGTCTCAGTGTGAGAATAACAGTACATTATCAATTCTTGAAAATACAATTAATGTTCATTCCAGTGTACTAATGGACCTTAATCCTAATGTGTGAAGCTTTGTACCCAACCCTCAAACAATGAAACTGTACCTAGTTGACTAAGGAATAAAAGATCTATTATACTGGCAATTCTGTTTGAGTAAAAGTTATGTCAGAAACTTTAGAGACACTGATGGTTGTTGGCATATTTAGAGGCTGTTTAAAATCTAATAATCGCCAGCCCATAACGTCTGAGATGTATAAACACATACAGAAATGTAATTGAATGCATGGAATCTGAAAAGAAATTATGCTCAAGTCCAGAGTCTAGGACACTTTATAAAGCATATTCCTTTGAGAGCCTATTGAGGGGGCAGTACTATGGGGCTGAACAGAAAGGAATGAAGAAAAAATATTTTCCCTCCTCTTGCTGATGCCTCTCATGGGAATGCTGTTTGCTAGTCTGGTTTATTTAACCACGAACTGGGAAGAGCAGCACAAACCACAGTGCTGAGTGGGAGCGGAGGTGGAACCTCTTTGGGGTTCCTCATGTCAAGAACCTGCACCTGATGCCTCTCGCTGTGCCAGAAAGGCATCTCTAGGGCAGAGGTTCCTGATTCATAGGAGTGACTCCAATGGATGCATTTCCTCTTTGATTTATCGTTGAAATAATTGTTTCTCTGGAAGGGTGTAAACTTGCACTGAATTCTCACACTGGTGGCATTAAGACATTACCTACATTAACGAGATACTGGAGGAGAGGGTGAATAGAAAGGTTGACTACGAATGTCATCACCTAGGGGAAATAATTTTGAAGTAAGTTGATATTTATAGTGATTAAGCAATTGTCTGAGGTTTTGATCCTTCAAAGAAGCATGAACGTAAACTTTAGATCTGCAACTCGTCACATCGAAGACAGTTCTGCAACTGCAAGTGACATTGCTTTTATGTTAACAATCATCATACCTAAAGTTAGACTGGGATTTTTTTTAAGCTTGGGTATGCAGATTCTGTCTTCTCCCGTAAAAAGCCCAGATTTGCTATATATTTGAGCTGACAGAGCTAAGCCAATTGTCTGAGGCTGTTGTACAGTAAAATCATTTTTCACTCTTGACAGTTGATTAATGCAGCAAGTTCCCCAACCAGCTGACCAGCCGATGGTTGAGAGAAATGCCCTTTTTAAAGCGCCCCTTTTGTCTTATTGCCTGTGCGATGTGAAGAAAACAAGGAAATTTTAGCCCCCATCCCAAGGTCCCATCAGTTATATTTGCACATCTCCATTTAAAGAAAAGAAAATATCCCTGGTGAATGACTTGTTTTAAAAATAAAGAAAGGAGAATGCAAGAGAAAAACTATTACATTGCAGAGACCTCTCTGGAGCATGAGACATTGGGACTGGAGCACAAAATGGCATTTAAAAGTCACAGGAGCCCACTCTTTACTAAAGGCTCAGCTCAGAGTATAGTGCTCCTGTCGTTTTTATTCACTCAACTGAATTTACCACTGTGACCTGTAAAACAGTTATCAGCACCTATAGGACAAAGACACTCTGGACTTCAGTTAGTACTTACCCCAATTGCACGCTTAAGCCGAGGTCTGTAAAGGTACGTCTCCTCTCTTGCCACTCACAGTGAAGCTGCTGGGGCTTAGCTGCTCTGCTGCTTTGTGAAGACTACCCAGTCAAGAAGGACATTATGGGATCATGCCCTTATTTCAGCATTTTGGACACATCTCTGCAGAGAAGAGTAAAAGGCTGTATTTCACAGCTATGATATCATTCTCGTGAGCTATATTTCAGCATGATCCACTATAAAACCTCTCCCATGACATCAGAGCTGTGAAATATAGCTGACTTCAAGTGCAGAAAGTTCTCCCGCAGGAATAATTGTTTCCTGGCAATTGGCATTTGAAGGACTGAGCCTTTAAAATGCTGGCACAAAGCCTGTCCAGGTAATGATGCTCCAGGCAGCACTGCTCAGGAAACATTATGTGCAGGAGCAGAGGTATGGAGCCCCACTGTGGGATTTGACCGTAGGGGTAATGAGACGAGCACTGGGGGAGCCTGTCAAGTGATGATTTTCACTCCCTCACGCCTCAGCAATCCATGCAGACTTCATTAATAGAAAATAATAGGTTTGCTCATATGCTGCTCTCCCTACCTCAGACCCTGCCTCCTCGATAAGGCGAGCCACGTGCACACAACCAGAGCTACGGTCTCATCCGTCTTTTCACATCTGCACTCCAAGCACAGATCATGATGGGCATGCTGTTACATGGCAGCTCGCCAGGGCTGCCGCTGCCCGGGGCACTAATAACTCACCTGGGCAGGCCCCAATCTCCCCGCAAAGCAACCTGGCAAGAAAATGGAAGTCAAAAATATTGCATGAGACATAATCTCCTCTTTCATATCACGTCAGGGAAGATGCCCACCAGAACAGACTCCACTCAGAGCCGGGGATTAGAGGAGTGGATGTTGGCAGAGCCGTAAAGAAGAAGACCCTACACAGGTCAGAAGGGTACAGGAGAAGGAGAAGAGAGACTATAAAAACTGGGAGAGAGTTAAAGCCGCCTCAGCTTTCCCTAGCCTGGTGCCTGAACCTGCCCATGTCCCCCTCTAGCGACCTGCACAATTATTTGCCGGTGCTCCATGAATTGCACTGAAGACGATTGTTGAACACATCGTAAAGCTTAGTCACACTGTTTTTTTCTGTTCCTCCTCTGTGAAGGTCTTCTTGTGGTGGGCAGCGGGTCTGTTCTTGCTGTTATATCTGTGTGTGTGTGTGTGCGCGCGCATGCATGTATGTGTGTATACACCTATGTGTCTGTGTCTGTCTCGCAACACTCAAAGCCTTACGTGGACACAGCTCCCATGACCTGCAGGACAGATTTGGTTTTGCCTACAGAAAGTTCACTGGCATTAATGAGAGCTAACTAGACACCTTCCCTCTTCTCCGGAAGAAACTACACTGCTTCATAATTCATTGTACCTTTTCCATTCTGCCTCTTAATGCTAAAAAACTGACTCTTTCTCACCCAGAAGTTACCTTTTTACAGTATTTTACCTTGTGAAGCAGTAAAACAATATTGTTTGAACGAGCCTGTTCCGTTACCTACTATCCATGTAAAAGCTAAGTGGTATTTCTCTATAGAAAATGATTTACTAAGAGGAACTGTAAGAGATTTTAAGTTATTTTATACAATTTATTACTAAGAACAATGCCAACCAGAAGAGTGGATAACCCGAGGCATTGTAAATGTTTTAACTGCATCAGTGTAGCTTAAAGGCTAAATTCTGCCTGATTTACACCTTTAAAAGAACAAACACACATAATACAGGGAAAAAATTGGCCTTTGATATAGAATATGATCCAAGTAGTGTTGTGTGAAATGCTTACAAAATTAAAAAAAAAAATAAATCTCTTTTCAATTCGGTATAGTCAGACTGTCATTCTACAAACTTCATTTACAAATATTGAGAGCTGCTGTGTTGAATTTTGAGCTGGTTCAGAATGATTTATTGTTTTTTGATCAGAATATTGAAAAAAAATAGCTTTTCCAAAGAGCATCCTTGCGAAACGAGATGAAAATTAATCAAATGATCCTTCTCTAAGAGTATGGATCTGTTTGGACTAAAAAATTAACAAAGTTTTTATGAAAAATATATGTTGTGGAATGTTTCTGTCAACTAATTCTGATTTCTTCAGATTATAAAATGTTCCAAAGCTGTTCATTAGGCATTTTGCATGACTGGTTACCTGAGACGCATAGTATCATTTCTTCTTCCTGAACAGAAGCTTTCAACTTTTTTAAAAACAGAAGAACCGTCTGCACTACACTGTGATACTGTATCTATAGCTCTTTTTCATAATGAAAGTCATGCAATCTTCAGCGATAGGGATCATTTTCATAATTATTTTGTAGGTGCACAGATATTTAGTATTAATAATAGCAGGAAGCAGAAGCTAGTAAGAACCCACAGGTAGAAATGAACTAGCTGATTTTTTTAATATTTTTAGAAGTTATTAATGAAAGCATTTACATATATAACTATGTATTTAAAGATCTAAAACTCAGTACAAAACTCTGGCAGTAGGTAACTGAGAAAACCAAAATGTCCACTTAACTTCCTATGCAGCATCAAACAGGTCTAGTATGTGGGAGATACTGACAAATATGCACGTTTATTTCACTAACCTGTTTACCTGACCCTTCCTAAATGAAGTCAAAAGCAAAATTCCTTAAATGTGAGGGAAAAATCCTGGAGTTATCTAAGTCCAGGTTCTTCAGCCCATAACTATAGCAACAGAATGCCTCCTGGGAAGACAGTCTGCACTCTTGCTAGCCCTTCTTCAATGTAGTAAGGTAACCTCATCAAGATACCCAGTCAGAAACTAATCAGTTACCTCCCAAAGTCCAGGCAGTAAAAAGAGACATGCCTGGTTTGCCTTAGTCAATGAATGGAAGTCAATGGAGTTAAAGGGGGAAAAAAACCCCACAAACCCAAACATCAGGACTCCTTCGTCCTACTCAATATAGATTCACTCAGATTATTTGAAGGACCACTTGCAACATTTTGAACCAGAAACAACCCAGCTTTTCAACAGTCGCTATTACTCTTCTACTTTTTGGACTTATTTATGTAGTGATGAATGTTAAGTACCTTTGAAAATGCTCAAAAAGTTTTTACTTTTCTTTTCAGAGATCCTTTGAGACTGCAAAGACTATTTAAAGAAGGAAGACGGCATGAGATAGGATTCAGTGCAGTAAAGTAGGTTAGTTTGAGGACAAGAAAAAAAGTCATTATTTAGACCTTCTTGCGTTGCCGTGATGAGAACTTACCATTGCTTCTGGCTGCTGTTTTGGGCTGGTCAGCCCCACCAAAGTTTCTTAACTCCATTATCCAAAAGGACTAGTGGCTTTCCAGGAAAGGAAAAGGTTTTGGTATTGTCTGGAAACAGCAGGCGGGACCTTCATCGTTCCAAAAGGAGCTGGATGTGGAATCAGTTCTTTTTATTGGAGGAATACACAGGAACTGACTACCAATATGTTGGCAAGGTAAGACTCTCATACACATCTATGTTTTGATTTTAGAAGCACTGGAAAGCCAGCAATAGCAAGTATGTAAGAACAATGCCTGCTACAACTTTTAGTTCTCCTTCCTATCTGCCCAGCTTCTGCTGAGGAGTAATTCAGTGGAAAGGTTAGGACACTTCAGCTTCAAATTGTAATCAACAACAGGAAGTTCCTCATTTAACCAGCAAGTCCTATGGCCAATCATGCAGAATTATGTTAAAGATTTTCCTTTTTATTTTTGTCTGGAAATAATGAAGCTTAATTATAGGGTTGTCTAGGCCATATTTTTAGCTTTAAAATGTAATATGCATTTTTCCCTCATGCTCATTAATTTTGCTAGAGTCAAACTACATAAGCTAGAAGAGGTTTTCGTCCAAGATATTTAGGATTCACAGTACCCATATTTTGGTGAGGATTCTCTCTACCCAGCAAAAGGCAACCATTTCCCTTTTTATTCCCCACTGCACACAACAATGCTGCAGCCATGAGGTTTTGTAGTGCCACTGAGGATTCTGTGATGTGATCATAATACCACAAGCCATGCTATTACAAAAAGTTGAAGTACACTGTGCTTATGTGCTTAGAAGCAGCAGGCAGCTGAAAATTTCTAAGCTCAAAACATGCTGATAGTTAAAAAAGTTTCTGTAAAAAATAATAATTAAAAATAATCACAACTTAACTCTGAAAATTTCCACCTCCCTGAGCAGCATACCCCCGTGTAGGTAACAACCGTTATGTGAATTGTAGAGCTAATGCACCTGTGGTAAGTCTAAAGAGAGTCTACACTGCCCAAGGTGCCATAGCCTATAGGAGTCTCTCTTGCAGAATGAAGAAATTATGCTATTGATGATGACATTCAAAGCAGAAACAATACAGCTTATTCTTCCAAACTAAAATGGGATTGTGTCTGATCTAGTTTGATCTCTCAAGCCTCTTAGCAAAGGCTGCAGATCACAGTGGTTTGACATTTTATCTCCCTCTGCAAGATTCTGAGCATTCCCGTGAGAGATGGTGGCTGCTTTTCTTGCCTGCCAATCAGCCGTCAGTCAAATCTGGATGCGACACTCCTTTCCTGCTAAATGGCTGCAAGGCATGATTCAAATGGAGAGCTACTCAGCTGGTGTAATACTCATAGAGCTCTGACCAGGATAATCAGCATTCATGAAGGGTACTATTGAACCCAATCTACAAGAAAAAAGCCAAAGGCAGAGAGTCCTCAGAGAGGAGAAGTAGAGAAGGAAGATAAGAGGGTAAGAAAAAAAGCCAGAACAGAGTAAGAGGGAAGAACTAGAAAGACAGAGGTGGAAGGAGAGGAAACTTTACAAAGAGGAATCAAGATAGAGGAGAGGAAAGGGACATCAAATGGGGGTAGAGGATAGCAGTTGGGAGAAAAAGATTACCTAAAGAGAGCACAAATAAAAACAGAAGATGAGACAGTGAAGGAAAAAAAAACCCAACAGGTAAGAAATAGGAAGTCAAGGAAAAGAAAAGAAAACAAACTGAAAGACAGCAGTCCTCCACACACTCTCCTATTTCACAGTCTACTCGGGGGCATCATGGTAATGGGTATCTCTTTCTCCAAAGATAAAGCACATGATGCTGAGGCAAGTTCTACAGCCTGTCATTTTCACTGTGAATTTTGACATTAAACCTGCTCAGCCCCAAGTCCCCCATTCTCTCCACTGCAGAATTAGAGTAGAAGCTATTGGCTTCAGAGGGACTGATGGGGGAGCAAATATTCCTGCAGGATGAGTTTGCTGAAAGACAGTTAAAAAATGGTCTGCTTGGACCAGAAAACCAAGAAAGTTTGGACTGGAGTCACTGAGGGAGAAAAAAATGTGGATGTTATTTTTAAAAGTTGTTCTTCTGCCTATTGGTACTTTAATACACTTGCTATTACAATGACACATAATGTATAAATGTCATTGATTCTGTGTCCCTGGGCTGTTCTCAAGTGGCCTTTCACACCTCTTTCAAATGCCAGAACTGCTCACACCCTTGTAATTGAACAATTAGCCAAGAGGCATGGAAGAGCAGCCATTTATTATTAGAGAAAGTTGAGTATTGGTGTGAGGATAAATGATAGAAACAGCTGAATATCTCCAAATTGAGGTAACCAGGCAATTTAACTGAGCAATTAAACTTGATTGGTGTGGACAAATGAGGATAATGAATATGTTTATGAAGCATATTTTTTCTCAGAGGATTAAATGTTAACCTTAAATATGAACCAAAAATGGTAAGAATATTTGGTTATAGTCTTTTTATTCTCTTATATCATAAAGAAATGTGAACAGGAAAATCTTTTAAAACAATAGCAAAATATGTACATAAAGGGGAATTGTGCTTATGTCTTACTGTATAAGCAGTCAGACCTGGATCTTCTGGGTTTTTTGTGTTTAGTGGTTAAAACTGGCGGGCATTAACATCATGATTATAAAAAAATTATTCCATATAAGCTACAAGGAAAAAAAAATCTTTTACTGGGGCTGGTTTTACTTTGTGTTTTCATTTGTTAACTTCTGTTTAATTCAAGCATCTACATCAAAATTTCAGATATAAGAAGTCTGTTGTTAAAGATTCTAACAGTGTTATTTCTATAAACTGCCCAAATTACAGTTGTAAAATCATGGAACTGTTTATACTACAAAACCCACATTTATATCATAATAGTTTTAGAAAGAAGGGGAAGAAAAGTGAAGGGGAATGCATTCAGGTTTGAGAGAATAAAAAAGAAAGGTAATCTCACTGAAGATAGAGCTCAAGGCAATACTGAAGACGATGCTGAAGCATCATCCGAGTCATGGACCAGAGCACTACTGTGCTCCATACCCCACCCCGTATACTCTATATCTGATGAACCCAAATGCTTTCCAAATTTTAGGAGATAATTGCCCAAGCACATACGAAACAAAGTAGCCCTTTTTTGGTACCCATGGGTACTGTCAGCTATTAAAAAGTGCTCCCCAGTTTTGTAAGCTACACACTTTGCTGTCAGCCCAAATATGCTGCTGTATCACACTGGACAAGAATATGCGGCTGCCAATAAGAAGCTCCCACTGTTATCAATACAAGTTGATTGTATGCTGTGGCTCTGACACCAGATCCACCATTTTATTATCCAGTTCTTGTATTCCTGAATTTCATTCCTGTATATTCATGAAATAAACCCTTTTAAAAAGAGTAGAAATTCACACCTCCAGTCTTGGTTAGTCTCAGACATAATAAGGTAAGGAACTTGCAGAAAAGTTCTAGACTGGGATTGTTCATTGCACTACTGAATAACTTGTGAACTACAGCTATTCATTGAAGTGTGATTGATGGGCACAGTGACATTTTAACCTAGAGATATCTTTTCTTCTGGTTCAGAAATTATAGCACTTGGCAGGGACTCAATCCCAAAATAAAATAAAAGGATTACATGAGCACCATAGTAGAGAAGTGCCCAGCACTACTACCTAGCCAAAATCTGCAATATTTGAGTTGGGTTCTAAAAGAGATCTAGTTGTACATGTGGCTGCTTAGTACAATTTTAAAGGGCTGGGGTGAATGCATCTCTAAATCACAGGTAAACGATGAAGTGGTAGTGCAGCTGTATATAGAAATATATGCTACATTCCCTAGAGGTCTTCAGATATTCCTGGGCAAAAGAGTGAAAAAAATCTGCCCCATTCCAAGATTATACTCAAAAGTATAGTTACCATATGTATGCACTTGATGTCTTTGCATGGCTGTCCCATTGGCTACATAAAATCGATGTACTGGCATCTGTCACTGAGTGGTCTTGTTAGAGCACAAACCTACAAATCATAGTTACGTAAAGGGATAGGATGCCTCTTTCTTTTAGACTAAAGAAAGATCTGAACAAGTCTTAAATCTTACTCATTAACCCAGAAACAGCTTCTGGCAGCCTGCAATGGAAAGGAGAAACTTGCTTTCCTAATAACAACAGGCACAACTCTGGAATGGTTTTGTCACATTCTGTCTGTCTGGCACTAAAAGGAAACTTCCAGACATACTTTTCATTTTTGCTGTGTCTTATTGATGTTCATATAATTCAAGCAGTATGCTCGCCTGGAAGCTATCTGATGTTACCACCTGTACAACCCATCATAAACAATCATCCTTTGCTGACAACTCCATTTTTCAAGCAAGATAAAGTCAAAGTCCTGCTGCTATGTGGCTTGGCAAAGCAGAAGGGATACTGCATTACTCTAGGCAAAACCAGAATCCTTTTGTTTGGTGTTGAAAGAACCACTGAGAAAGATAAGTTCCCCTCTGTCAGGAATGGTTTAAGGTACGGTTCATCCTGCTTTGGAGGAGGAGGGGATGAACTAAATGGTATCACAATATAGTTTCAGTACTGTTTTTCTTTCTTTTCCCTGATTTTACTTCTGGCTACAACTATTCTGAAGGCAAGCAGAACCGTTCCTTGCAGTGTATTTCACCAGAAGCAAATCAAACAAAAGGTAGAATCTATCCAAACCATTGCAAGTAGTGGGACTAAGTCACATGCTGAGACAAAAGTATCTGGCTGTGAGCACACACAGGGGGCTATTTAAACAAGGAAAATTATTGTCATGTAATACAGTCCATGCATTTTCAGCATTTGAGGCAGTAATGGGTCACATTACTCCAGTGGTTAAAAGGTATCATCTTAATTGGATGATGTGATAACTAGCAAGAGAAACCTTCACTTTCTCTCAGATCTTTAGCATGCTAGCATTCTGTACTTATCATCAAAACTTTTGTTCCCCCAAAAAACCAAGATGTGAAAAGTCAAACTAAAATGACTCTTCCCATCTGCACTTTTAACATCCTTTATGCAGTTCTATTGGCAAACACTTGCTCTGTATTTGTTTTCTTTACCTTGTAACTTGCACTATGATATACACCTGATGCCTTCAGTTTCTTGTTCCGAACACAGTGACTATTTATTATCGTTACAAGGCCTAAAATTAAAAGTTCCACTTGTGACTTCT